AATGCAGAGGAGACAACAGCTCTTCAGAGCCTACTGCAGAATGGGATGCAGAATTTTAAACTTTCTCTGACCCCACAAACACTAGTTAGAAGAAACATTTCAAGAAAGTTAGCCTGAAGTTATTTAAAAAACAATGAAGCAATATTTTAACCAGGGGCTCTGTGATAAAGGTACAAGGAAGCACAGTCCTGCAAAAAAATCCCAGCCAGCCCACTCACTAGCCCCAAAAGGTCTTTTTCTGCTGATAATCTCACTGGGGTCCTTCTGCTTTGAGGTCTTTAGAAAAATCCCAAGCATTTCCAGAGACAGGAACATCTGCAGATGTTTCCAGACAACACAGAACCTCAGAGGCAACTCTACCATTCGCAGCCTTTTAAAACATTAATTTGGCAGCCCAGCAGCGTGGGCTTCCTAACTAAAACATACTGCTTGAAAACGGGTGGTGGTGTGGGGGGTTTGTCCTTGGAACACTGGTTTGGATTTTATGTCCGATAACCATCTCTTGTCTCTCTTCCAACCCCTACCAGGAAGGATCGGTGAGACAAATACCCACAGCTTCCAGGGGAATAAAAGGAAAAGCCAAACAGGAAAAGGAGTTATGAACAATGCAGCCCTGGCTCAGTTAATGATCAACTCTGCACACACCATACTACTTTTCCCCAAATACCACAACCTATTTGAACAGAGTTTTTAGTAATCGGTGGGTAGTTAAGAGGCCTCTTAAGTGTTGCATTTGTGTTATCACAAGCAGCAAAGAAATAAAAAAGATGAGAAATCCCCGACGACTCTGCTCTGTCAACAGGAAGCCCATCCAGTGTGCCGGGCGAGCTCAGCTGCGTGGAGGGGTGGGCAGGAAGGGTAAGGGGTCAGGTTCCCCTGCCTGCACATTCCCATCACATCCCTCATGGAGCATGAGGCTGCCTTCTGCAGCCGGACAAACCCTCAGCACACAATGCACGCTTAAATGGAGAACACAACTGCTGTAGTCCATCCTGATCCTACCGGCCTCTCCATGAGACGAAGAGCTAATCAACTGCTTTCTGTATTGCAAGCACCTCCAACCGGAGCGACCCTCAGCTGTCTTAAGGCAACTTCAGCAAGAACTGATAGCGGTAACTGGAATCACTCTGCTGATCTTCCAGTCCTTTGAGCAGCAGTTTCCAAGCTCAGCTCTTAAATATCATTGACTCTCAGCACAATGGTAAAACACTCACAAAGCTACAGCGCTTTACAACGGCACAGAAGCAATTAAAGATTTCCAATAACACGCTGCTCGGAGGATTGCGGTCTAATTGCTGAGCGGTCAAGGTTTTTGGCAGCAATAACACTGTAAGGAGATAAAAAGGTTTCCCATATGAGAAATAAATAAATATACAGCTCTCCAAACAATGGCAGCAGCAGCCACACACCTATCTAAGTTCCTGACTCGGCACTTGGCATAATTCAAGATTAGGTGGTCATGAAATTTTCTAACACAGAGGCCACGGCTGCATGACAGAGGTAAATGAAAGGGGTGGGGAAGGACAAGGGCCAAGCAGGCCGGGCACAAAGACAAGTTACAACACTGAGGTGGCAACACAATGAGCCCGAATTACCCAGTGTTGTAATTTACTGCACAGTTTGTAATTACCTGCACAGCCTGGAACTTCCCCTTACACTGTAAAGTGTGGTTTCTTACACTACGCTGAAGGGTTGTCACTTAGAAGAAAACTGATTATGGGAGGGAGCAACAGGCTGCTAAGCCAAGTCTGCAAGGACATTTTGTGGCTACCTACTGCTGAAAATAATTCTGTTTAACTTGTGGGGTTTATTTTTTTTCCCTAAAAAAACCTTATTGTGTTTTTTTTCCACGATAAACCCACAACACTGTGAAGAAACTGCCTACTCTCTCTCTCTCTCTCTCTTCTTTTTTCCCCCTAAAGTTTAAAATACTTATAAAAACTATGAGTTAACAGCTTATAATAGAAAACAGACTGGTATGTTGCAAGCACGAGAACCATGGAGAGCAGTGAGCATATTCGAGTTTTTAGATCCATCTGGCTCCCGAGTGTTGGAGGATGGAGGAGTAAACAGGACAGAAAACCTTCAACATGTGCTCGATGTGCACCCAGGGAGGGCTCGGGTTGGCAGAAAGGGAGCCCAGGCAGAGACAGAAGTATTTAAACACAACAAAAAATGCCCAAAAATGCCAGGGGGGTGAGGGCACCAGAGTGAGGTGGTTAATCCTCAGGTTCAAAACATGCCTCTGCACCTCCAGGCCCCGCTCCCTGGCTGGACACAGCCTGGTGGAACTCGGCCACGGTCTCACAGGAAGGATGTGGTGCAGTGGGAGCAAGAGTTGAGCCTTCCCAAATCCCAAGTGAGTGCCCTGACTGCTGTGTCACCCTGCTTTGCCACTGAGATAAAAGAGGAAAACTGGGTGACAGAGGAAGCCGGCATTATCAGAGGGACATGGAAAAACCACTTCAGGGACACCAGCAATGAATTAAATAACTAAAACTTGGCCAGAGGCAGAGGAAGCAACTCTAGGCAGGAAGAACTGATCCATGGCAATTTCTCCATGTTTCTTGTTAAAAATCTTTGATATTTGCAGACTGCCTAAAGATTTGCTTTTTTCCTTCTATTTTTTCCATCAGGTGCCTTAAGAGTTTTAGTAGACCAAATTAAATTTTGAATCCTACACACAAGTAAACTGGTAAATCAGCAGAATTCCCCCTAGGTTCATTGAGAGTAGCAAGACTTTCTGGAATGGGTTACAACTATAAATTCTGAGCGTTTTGATAAACACAAGTCTCCCGGACATTATTTGAATCCTTGTGAACCTGAAATGAATTAGACCCAGACCAGCTGACTACATTACTGTCTAAAAGCGTCAACACAAGAGTAATTTCTGCTGATCTCTGAAAGTCAGAGCTGATCAGCCAAATACATCTACTAAAGAATACACTGAAACAGAAGTTTCTGATAATGTTTGGGTCACCACTGCCCTTCCCATTCCACAGAGAACACATTTTTGGCATAGCGAACAACTAAATCTGGATTTTTAGGCCTTGCCCACGATGAAATAAGGACATTCAATATTAATCAGCCTCTGTGAACTTGTAACTAGGAGCATAAACTTTAAAAATTGGCCTTTATTACACCAGCCTGAAAGCCACAGCACCGTCCTGATTGAGAACACCAGCAAAATATTAATCCAGTGTTCAGCCTGTGAGAACACTTATGTGTGGGCCAAAAGCTCTGTCATTCTCATGCTTATTAATCTTCCCTTCCAGAAGGCAAAGGACAGCGTAAGCTCCTGTGATAACTCTGTTATCTCTCTCCCCAGAAAAGGAAAGGGTGGTCCTTCCAACCCAGCACCATTTAAACTACCACAAGATCCTCCACCACGGATACGTGCGATGGAGGGAGCAGAGACAAGCATTATTTCCCCTTTCTTTTGATCCCTTTCTGTACAGTCTCCAACTGTGGGTTAAGTGTTTGAGTGGTGTATAAAACAAACACCTTAAAAGCACTTAAACTGTTACCTGGCTACCTGCTCTAGCTCGGCAAATCATCCAGAGCTCTAAGGAAATGTTCCGGCCCAGAGCGTGTTGGGGTTTTCTCCACAATTCCAGAATTACTGATACTTCCCAATGCCCAGGGTATATCCAGCTTGCATTCTTGCCTCCACAGAACAGTTCAGGTACATCCCTGTTAAACCCACTTTATCAGCAACCGCAGGGAAATCCGTGGCGTTTACAGGCAACAGTGCAAGCGGAAAAAAATTACTAACTACAAACATTTTGGGCTGAGCATGAAAGGCTCAGAGAGACTTAACTAAACTGATTACCAACTACAGCAGTGATTGCTAATGCTCACAAAGGAGGCCACAGAGTCCAGGGACTCATTTCCATATCAAGCCTAAGCAGAGATATCTACTAAAGACCTCGTAAGTGCAAGGCAGCTGCAATTCTAGCAGGAGCTTCTTGCGACAAGAACACAGTTCCAGGTGGGACCCAGCATTTATCCTACTATCTTGAAGTCTTTCATGATGTTTCCAAGAGATAAAACAGTCTGCTAGCTTCTTTAAAGAAATATCAAGCATGGCTAGACCACAGCGACTATCTCTCTGAACGCCTTATCTACCACCCCATAGCTGCCATTTCCCTCCGTGATCCTTCCAGCCAAACCCCACGACTCAGGCAGTCGCCGTTAATTGTCTATAAATTAAATGATTATTCGTATCTGCATTTCAAAGGGGGGTGTGCAGCTGGGGAGACTGATTTTTCCAAGCGGCTTAGTGTGGGGCACAGAGACACTCTGCACTTCAGAACTGCCCAAGACTGACAGCACTTAGAAACTGGCACCAGCTCATGTCTCTGCCTTGTGACCCGCAGGTGCTGCGCGTCAGGTCTCAGACCTGCAACACCCCAGCCCCGCGGTCCCTCTCTGTCGCCTTGAGATAAGCCAAGAGATCAAATAAAGGGGCTAATCTCTGCTTTAAGCCCAAAAGACGGCCAGGGCACACGGGCAGGGGAAGGTGGCACCCCGTTCTCAGCGCCCAGCCCGGCTGAGGGTCCCGCACCGGCCCCGCACGGGGAACCGGCGGCTCCGGCGACAGGAAGCGCAGCCCCGAGCTCCCGGGCAGCTCCCGTGAAACACTTTTCGAGGCGCTCGGATGGGACCCGCAGTACTTGCAGTGAAAAAAAAGAAATCAGGGGAGCGAGCAGGGAGCGAGCAGCGGCCGCCCCGCGGTGCCGGTGCCTCTCGCCGCCTCCCGGCAGCCGTGCCGGCTCCGCGGGCAGCAGAAAGTTTGCCCGGAGGCAACGTGCGGCTGAGAGAAGTACGGAGAGCGGGGGAGAGCGAGGAGATGGGAGAGAGAGGAGAGGCGAGAGAGGGGTGAGCGGGGAGAGCGCAGAGCAGGCGGCAACCCCGCACGCCCGGGGAGCCGGGGCAGGCGGGGCGGCACCGGGGAGGGGAGCAGAGGGGAGGCTCGGCGGCGTGTGCCCGGTACTCACATCTGGGCGATGGCGCCCTGCGAGATGACGGCGTTGTCGGAGAAGTAGGGGATCATCGCTCCCCGGCGCGGCGGCCGCCCCTGCCCCGCGGCATCGGCCCCGCGCCCCGCTCTGCCCCGCGCCCGCCGCGCCGCCCCCGCCCCGCCCAGCGCGCAGGCGCGGCCACGAGGGGCGGGGCCGGGCCGGGACACGCCCACAGACACACCCACGGCCCGCACGTGGCGGCTGCGGGGACGGGCGGGACCGGGACAGGGGACACGCGGGACAGGAAGCAGGGACACCCAGAACAGGGACACGCGGGACAGGGAACGGGGACAGGGAGCAGAGACACGCAGGACGGGGCCAGGCGGGACGGGGACAAGAAACAGGGACACGCAGGACGGGGACGCGCCGGACGGGCACAGGGAGCAGGGACACGCAGGACGGGGACACGCGAGACAGGGACAGCCGGAATGGGAACAGGGAGCAGGGACACGCAGGACGGGGACACGCGAGACAGGGACAGCCGGAATGGGAACAGGGAGCAGGGACACGCAGGATGGGGACACGCGGGACAGGGACAGCCGGAATGGGAACAGGGAGCAGGGACACGCAGGACGGGGACACGCGGGACAGGGACAGCCGGAATGGGAACAGGGAGCAGGGACACGCAGGATGGGGACACGCGGGACAGGGACAGCCGGAATGGGAACAGGGAGCAGGGACACGCAGGATGGGGACACGCGGGACAGGGACAGCCGGAATGGGAACAGGGAGCAGGGACACGCAGGACGGGGACACGCGGGACAGGGACACGCGGGCGGTCCGCTCCGCTCAGGGGTGGGGGTTCGCGTGGCGGGTGTGCTGGTTTTTTTGTTTTCCGTTCCCTTTTCCCCCTCGTTTTCTCCCCCCAGATCTAGGCCGGGGAGGCTGCACGTTCCGAAATCAGGTTCGTAGCGGCAGCACATCAAAAGGTGCTTTGCGAAAGGCAGTCAGTGACAACTCGGGTGCTTAGGAAACGACCTTAATTTCTCTCCTGCAAGAGACGGAGGGAAGAATTCTTGGCAGTAACTTTCATATGCAGAGACTCGACAACTCAGTTTCTGCCAAAGGAGAAGAGAAGCAGCTGCCTTTTAGTGCTGTTTAATCTTTACCTTCATCACCCCTCAAGAGAAAAGGAAGAAAGGAAGATATTTAGAACAAAAATCTTGTCCTCTGGCTGCTGGGAATTCAGATCTTGCAGCATGAGGGAAACTTAATACAGTTTTCCACTGGGGAGAGCCGGGGGCAGTGCACTCGATCCCACCCTGCACTGCCCATCCCACATCGGCATTCTCCAGCCCCTACACCCACAGTGCAGGAGAACAGCCGAGAAGCCTTGGAAGCAAGCTCAGTTTTCTGTTTCCCATAGGAATGCAGGACATCCCAGCACAGAGGAACACGATACACCAGCCTTAAGTCATCTGCTATGGGTGGCACAAGCCCAGTAAGGAGGCACAAGTGAGCTGGCAAGGGGAGATGACAGTTTAAACACATGTACTTGTTAATGACATCTACTGAAGAGCAAGAAAATACCAAGGCATCACTGCAGAGCTGCCCCTGTGATCAGGCAGCAACTGGAAGCCCAAAAGCTTCATCAGCTTTATTTCCAACTATTAACTAAAACTATCAGAGAAGCAGAGAGGGGTTGAAAAAAGCAACAGAGCGTGAGGGCAACTGTTTTGGGTCTAAGACTTGGCAGAAGCAGGACAGACACTTGTCTGAAAGGTCTTGACCATCCCCACTTCAGAGACTCACAGGAAAAGGGAAAAGCAGTGGAACTGGTGATTCTGCAAGTTTTGCTAAGATATGGTTTGGTTGCATTAATTTAAGCAACGTCATCTTATATAGCCAAGAGTGCAGCTCTGGTAATGGTGCCTCACAGCTGTAAAGAAAACGCAGTGCCAGCTTGCTGCAGTGCCAAAAAAAATCATTTTGTTAGGCAGAAATGAAGTCAGTTGCAAGAAGCAATGGAAAAATTGGGACATTAGAGAAATGGAGGGTAACTCAATCCTTCCAGGGGTCAAGAGACTGGCAAGAACCTCATATTCAGTAGTAACACATACCACACATTCACAGACTGAAAAACAAGCCCAGAACCTCTATTCTATTCTAATTAATAACTTAAGGGCTTTATTCAAGCATTGTAGAAGACTAAATGTACTTAGATACTGTCCAGACACGTCAGATTTCTTACACGCAACATTACAAGGCAAGCCCTTAAAAACTGCTGAAAACAAGTGCAGTGATTAACTACAAGCAGCTACTCATAACATATGGATAATAGATTTGTAAATGAATTACTCCTGGATTAATACAATCACACACTGCATGCCCATATGCCAAGAGACCACATGATAGAAATATCACCAGCTTTTTTCTTTACGAACCTTTGGAAATCAGAAGAAGGAAATCCTCAAAGAAATTCATATGCAGAAATCTGCACTAATAAAAGGTATTTGAACCTGGGTTTATTGCCATAAAGATTGAAAAACCAGCCTGAGACTGGCACTGCCTTCAGGTGTATGTTAGTGAGTTTTCAGTTCCCACTGCCCATCTGTGTAGAATCACAGATTCATTAAGGCTGGAAAACAACTCCAACCTTTGACCGATCACCACCTTGTCAACTAGACCACGGCACTGTCACGCCCAGCCGTTTCTTGAACACCTCCAGGGAAGTGTTCATCATATCCACCATTCCACCACATCCCTGGGCAGCCTGTTCCAATGCCTGACAACCCCTTCTGAGAAGAAATTCTTCCTGATGTCCAACCTGAGTCTTCCCTGGCACAGCTTGAGACCATTTCCTCTGGTCCTGTTGCTGTTTGCCTGAGATAAGAGGACAACCCCTACCTTGCTCTAACCTCCTTTCAGGCAGTTGTAGTGAGCAAGAAGGTCTCCCCTGAGTCTCCTTTTCTCCAGATTAAACACATCCAGCTCCCTCAGCCACTCCTCACATGACTTACTCTCTAGACCCTTCCCCACCTTTGTTGCCCTTGTCTGGACATGTTCCAGCACCTCAAAGCCTGTGTTATTTTCGTATTTTGCTTTTTAAAATCAGACTTAAGGAACAACGCTATGTCTTTGTCAAAGCTCCATCTTACATTTAGACGTGAGCAAAAATACTGACCCAAAAATTTGATCTCCCAGCACACAGGAGCAAGGAGCAGGCAGAATGAAGGGGCTTCGAGGGGATGAACAAGATGGGAGTTGAAGGCAGCAGGTCACAAGACAGACAAGAAACTGCTCCTTGCTGGAAGCAGGTGCACTCTGCTGGGACACATACATGAAGAATTTAAAGTGCACGAAATTGCAGCGATGACAGGTAGCAGCCTAAATCACCGCGGTGCCGCAACAGAGCATGTGAGCAGAGCCATTAATCACTGTATGACAAGTTGTAAATACTCCTGTCTGGGGTCTCAAGTGCTTCCCAGCCCAGTGCACGAAATTACACTTTGCTGCAGGGAAAAGGGCACTGCCTGTCCGAGTTCTGTCGGCGTTTCACACTCCCCAGGAGGTCACAGGATCAGCAGGGCCGTGCGGAGCAAGCGGCGAACACACAGCACGGGACTCACAAGGCTTGTGGGGCAGCAGGATTCCATTTAACCTTTGAACACCACACACTAATAAACTACAGCTACGTACAGCACACACGCTGTAAAAACACCCATCCCCAAACCTTTGTAACACTAACAGCTACTCCAGCAGCTAGAACCAGTTATGGAAGGAGTATGGAAAAAAACTACAATGAAGAGTGTTAGGGATGTCTGAACAGGCATTTCAGGAGGACAGAGCAGAGGAAAAGCCACCCGAGCTGCCTCTGGAGAGAAGTTTAAGTGAGTGGAAGGAGAACACATGCACAAACCTCTCCTATTGACTTGCAGTGTTTGATCTGGCAGACACCAAGGCTGACAATATATTGTTTATTCATACAATCATCATCTCCCCCGGTGTCTGCATCCCAAAGCTACAGAGTCACAGCAGCTTGCACCGGCAAGTTCAGCTACTCCACTTTTCATGTGCATCCTAGCACATTTTGATCCTGCAGTGATGTAACAGAGTGTCCTGTGTTCTGCACAGGACTGGCAGCTTGCTAATGGCATTCTCCTCGCACAGCCCAGGCCTCAGTCCACAGGTCACGAGGAAGGGCTGTGGTCAGGTTTGGCACTGGCATGCACAGATTTGACACTTGCAGGAGGCATGCTCACAGATGGACACCCAGTCCTGTCAGTGCACATAGTCCACATGCAAAGAGGGCATTAATCAAGCTTCTGTTTCCATCCAAGATCAACAGCTTAAGGCTGAATTGCTGCTTCTTGTCAGACCACACAAAGGTGTGGGTGTCACCGTGTTCCACCCACTCCTATCCCACAGGGGCTTGCTGAGTGCTCACGTGTTAAGATGATTAAATCTGGAGCATGATTGTCTTATTAGGCATGTTCAATTCTTAGTCTACACTGGGGCCTGGTGACCTCTTTTCATTTCAGAGTGTCTACCAGCGAGACTTTCTCTGGTCCTGTCAGTTCTCTCCTTTTGAAGAGCTCTAATGAACACAATATACTGTCCTTAGTTTCTCTAAAAACTTATTCCAGTGGATATGAAAGGTTGGGCATTATTTTAAATCTGTTTTGACTGCAGTCCAGGTACTCTCTGCAAAAGCAAGGAACATTCTTCTCTTCTTCCAGCTGTGGGAGGTACTACAGTAGTAACATTTGTCATGTTCAAGGTAAAAGGGACAGTGGGAGGCTGTCAGACATAGGAATTTTGCCCTCAATCATTTGCATCAGTGTCACAGATAAGGCAATGCAAAACCCAGACCCATGTTTTCAGGAGATTGTGAAAAAAACTTGTGAAGTTGCTGCGATGGGCAAACAAACCTCCCCCTCATCTCCAGCACATCCTCTCCCTACCGAGAGAGGTGCTACGGCCGTGCCTGCTCAGCCACCTTTACTGCACGTATGGAAAGTTTGTTCTTTACTGTTCAGCAGCTGTTTCCGGCCACGTTTGTGAAAAGTCACAGAATTTTGAAAACAACCCATCTCTGCCCGCAGCCAAGCACTGCAGTCTCGCACAGGCACCGCCGGGGAGCAGAGGTAGCAAGTTCATT